CCCATCTAGTCCCCGAGTGGTGATTCCCCCCGCCCTCCACTTCCCCCCAGTTTATATACTGGGTCTGACATCACATGGTATGGAATACCCCGTTGGCCACTTTGGGTCAGCTGCCCTGGCTGTGTCCCCTCCCAACTTCTTGTGCCCCTCCAGCTTTCCCACTAGCTGGGCATGAGAAGCTGAAAAAATCCTTGAGACTAAACACTACCTAGCAACAACTGTGAAAACATCAGCGTTACCAACATTCTTCTCATACTGAACTCAAAACATAGCACTGTACCAGCTACTAGGAAGACAATCAACTCTATCCCAGCTGAAACCAGGACAGCATCTCCCATAGCCAAGGCCAAAGGAAGAACCCTGGGACACTTGGATCCTGCTCTGTTCAGACATGACGTTTCGTACACTATAATCAATGCAATCATAAAAATAGACTGTCAAGACAAGAACATTGTCTTGGCCAGAGTTTAAAAGATACCAGATTCAAATTTTAAGAAAATGTTGTACAAGGCATCTTCAGAAAGGCTTAAAAAGAGCTAAATGAAAACTTTGAAATATTCATCTAGAACAACCTCAGTGGAGGGACAAAAAATCCTGAGGCCTTTTTTGTATTCACTGGAGGAACTGGCTCGTCTAGAAGGTGCTTAAGAGGACCTCACGGAGGCTCCCACGATGAATCACCATCCACATCAGCATCCCAAACCAACAGAGTTCCAGTAGCCTTTTTCCAGGAAGGGAGAAGTACCATATTCATTTTAGGTGAATAACTTTTATGGACCATTCTTCCTCGTAGCCTCTAAACAATCTCCTTCTGTCAGGCCACAGGTCTCCCCTCTTGCTCCTCCTACTCCATGGCTGGGATGCTTGTAGCAACTCACCTTTTCTTTTTTTGTTCTGTGAATCAGCTGCATAAACATGCAAAATACATACAGCTACCAGCAGGCTTAGGCAACACTGTCAGCGCAGAATTCTGCACGAACACAAACCTCACGTTTAATACAGTCTTTGTTGCGTCACTGACAGCACAGGCTTTAAAGCAGTCTACTATGTAAAAAGCCAGGTTGTTTCTACCCTGGAAATATTTTACATCCTGTTCTTTCTGCAGTGTTACTAATTCCAAGTTCTGTTTAATGCTCTGCATCTGAATAGGACTCTCAATTACATGAGTCACTGCAACTACCCTTTGATTTTTTTTCTTTTTTTTTTTGTCACGTACGTGTAATCTGAATCCACAACTGCTGGAGCCTGAAGCTTGCTCTGCACACTGGAAGTGCCACAACAAAATGGGCTTACATTCAGTTTTTAGTTGCTCATGGCCAACAATACTGTCCTAGTGTTTTGTCACTGCTGTCGCTTTCCAGAGAAGTGGAGGTGATTTGGCCTTGAACACAACCCCTCCCGAGACTGCCAGCGTACAGAACTATGTGGTTGCACGTTGTGGCAGGGGGCGGGTATAACACCATCCTAAGATTAGGGAGGAGGGAGAGAAAAGAGGGTGAATTGTCCAGTTACCTGCAGTATCTCTCACTGCTGGATGACATGCCATACTGGCTGGTGCTAAGAAGAGTACAAACACCCCTTTCACACCCCAGAAAATCCATAGGTGTTAGCTGTGAATTCTTTACCAGCCTTGCTACGTATGTAACCCATGTTAAAGTTCACCTGTCACATCCACACTCCACCATAAATAGGTGCAAGCTGCAGATGAGAGGGTACAGCCCATGTTAGCATCCTTTCTTCTGAGCAGCTCTCTTCTACACACTTCTGGGTTAGCACAGGATCAAACCTATATGCTCTGGGGGCTTTTCAGATAAGTGCGATATGTACATCTGGATGAATGCGTTTTGGTGGTCAGCTGAATCATGTGCTTAAGAGTCTGATTTAAATGGACCAATGCTGATTTTGCACACATTTTGTGGTCAGGTTGGCAGTGTAAGTTATTGAAGAAAATGTCTTTTTCTCACTTGTGAAAAGATGCATTTGAAGCCTACGCACAGTGGCTTTTCTGGGAAAGCAAATTTTCTAGGAATGCCAGTTACAATTTTAGGAAGGAAACAATGTGGTAATTTTCAAATTCAAATCAAGTTTTGGTGCAGAAGAAGAGAAGCAAGGCTTGAGAAGAAAAGGTCATGGCAAAACACTATGAAACAGGTAAAAAACTGTTTTCCCTTTTCTCTCCTTTCCCATCTTTTTCAAGCCAGCTTCTTACTAGAAAAGCTGCTTTCCATCTCTTCTAAACTTCCATCACTCTGTCAGTATAATGCAGGAAAGCACTGCCTGAAAATAGAGCTTTTCTTTTCCTAGAGGATAATTACTAGCTGTTCACTGTCTCATTATAAAATCCTAGTGAGGACCAGGATTTTACCATGAAGATGCTAAAAAGCATCAATATTATACCTCATATAGGAAAAACTATACTGTTTCCTCTGTCCCCTGGAAAACCACCACTTCTCTGGCAGACAAGGTAGAGCGTAACACCTCTTTCCTTCCTTTCTACAAGATCTGTCTGATTTAAATTGAAAGCTCTGTAGGGTGGGAACCTGTTCGGAACTATGTTAAGTATGCGTATTGTAAAGAACTACGTTACATTGAGAGCGTTGGAAAAAAAAATAAAAAAAAATCAAAGATTGTTATACCAAAGCCTCAACTATAGGTCCCAGGAATGACAGTATAATTATTTTTAGAGATGACTATAGCAGTAACTCAACATGACATGAGAGACCTGAGAAACAGTAAGCCTGATTTAAACCAATGGAAAAGCCAGGAATGCAGAATGGAGACTGTTCTTAATGCACCATATTGCATCTGAACATTTTGTTCCTACCCATCTATCCAAAGCATGACGTTTTGCATTTCATATTAACATTCTGAAGACATTAAAGGATTCTTCAATCTGATGTTCATATGCTGTGTCAGAACACGCACTCCGACTGCTTAGAGAGACGTTATGTCTACCTTTTACTCATCTTCCCTCCTTCAGCCTCCTAACCAACCCTCCCTCCCACTCCCCCAAAATCCCTGGGCTATTTTTATTGGTAGCATTATTTAGTTCCCCAGGAAGATAGTTACAAATACGGTTTGCGGGATTTGAACTTCACTTTGGATTTCTGCACTACCTCAGCTATTATGCATATGTACTAAGACTGAATGCTAACAAATCATTGCAGTAATAGCTGATGTTCGTATACAATTTCTCATCTTCAAAGCAGTTTAAAATTTCCCAGAGGTTCTACAAAATCCGGGAGAGGGAGGCAGCGATTTGGGCAAAAGCCTTTGTTTAGCATTGGTCTTAAGATAAATCATAGCTGGGCCCTTTCTGCTTAGCCCTATAGCAGGAACATTGTCGTCTTCAGATTTAAGTCTGAAGTGCTCAACAATGCTCAATGGCCGATAACACATTTTCACTAAAAAGCATTTGGAATACTCTTTCTTTTTTTTTTTTTCCCCATAGGGACAGCTCTCTTCTGAAATTCTGTTCTCACCTTTGAGCTCAGAACGAGGGACACTTGCGACACGAGCGTAACGCGCTGGGAGATGAATCTGCGTATCAAAACAAAGGGCATCGTGATTTCCCGCAGTTGCGATACCAAAAAGTCGTACTTCAAAGCCATAAAACACCAAACAGCATAACCAGGAATCGTAATGGTTTTAAAAGACTTTTCTAGAGGCAAAACTAACGGTTCTTCGCGAGCTCCTTCGGCGTTCGAGCGCGGCAGCCGGCTTTTAAGAGCGGGAAGCGAGCTCTCGCTCGTTTGCCGGCCGGCGCCAGAGAAGGGCGAGCGAGAACCCTCGGCGGGGAACCGTCACGGGCCTGGCTTCTCCTGCCGTTGTCCCGGGGGAAGGAATTTTCCCTCAGCGCGGGACAGACCCGGCCGAACGGGCCCCGCCGCCTCCTCAGGGCCTCGGCGCCGGCTCCAGGCCGCCG